TGGGCAGCCAGTTTGAAGGCTGCTTTTAGTCGCACCTTTGGGAGAAAATCTTCAAGCAGGCACTTCTCATTTCCCTGCTCGTAGTGCTGAATTTGTAAGCTGGGAATTTGCACTTCCACCGGAACAACAACAACTGCTCCGTAAATTAAGGCAAATGGACTCTTGCCACTAGCTTCCTTTTCTGTTGTTCGATTCTCCCATAGCACTTCTGGCACCAAGTCGGCCCAGATTCCCTTATACTCCTCCAGCTTTCTTTGTAAGGCTGTTAAGATCAGCTTGTTCGCTGCTTCTGCCTAGCCATTGATGACTGGCATTATGCCACTATTTCACCCCTTTTTAGTAAGGATTTTCCCTCATTTCTCACTTGTTTGCACCTTCTCTAGCTATTTTTACCCTTACTTTAGTTTTATTTGCTTTTTCTCGTGATTTTACTCTTCTTTTAGCTTTTCTTGTGGTTTCTAGCATTTCTACCTTTGTTTTGTAGGTTTTTGGCACTTTTGGATGAAGATAGATGAGCAATGTTTGGCTAAGGAGAGATGCTAATGGGAGAGGGCGCGCTGCCTCCCTATAGGCCGCGGGCGCGGAGAAGAATTTTGGAGGTTCCAATTGGAACCTGTAGATGGTTGCCCGTGCCCCAGGAGAGGGCTCTCTCCAAACCACCGCAAGCTCGGCATTACAAGCTGCGGGCGCGGCCACCTGAAGACTTGACTTCCCCTGTTCCTTTGCCCGTGCCCCAGGAGAGGCCTCTCCACTAGCCATCGTGGGCGTGGTACTTAGGGTTTAGCTTGTCCATCCCCAGACGGTAGAGGGCGCGGTGCAGCAGTAGAGGGCTTGGCTTATTTCGTTATTTCTGCCCATGTTATGCACTATAAATAGACTTTTTCTTGAATTTATGAAGTAGCTAATTTTCCAAATATTATTAGAACTTTGTAGAGAGAGAAACTCTAGGTATTTTAGAGAGTGAAAGTTGCTTAATCTTCAAGTTTCATCATTGTAATCAAGATTTCTTCATGTTTTCTTCAATCCAATGGTAGTATTTTCATGTTTTCTTCATCAATCAAGCTTCATAGTAGTTATTTCCTAACTCTTTACTTTTTGTTTGGTTTAATTACATTTCATAGTGTTGGTCTTCATTCATTTGCTTGTTTGATTGAATTACTTTGATTTTGAATCATGATTTGCTTAGTTAAGATTGAATTCATGCTTAGTGTAGTTTTGATTTCTATTTTCACTTCTTTATCTTAGATTTTAGCTAGGGAAAGGGGTGAAGATCATGATTGGCTAGGATTATATTGATGATTGATTGGATATTGCTTTAAGTTGATGATTTTGTGCTTAAATTGCTTGAAATTAATGTTGCGCACCTTTAATTTCATTACTTGATTACTAAATTGGATGCATGGGAATGATCTAGTTTATTATTGACCTATTTCATCAATTTTCTTGAATTTTGGGTAGAATTTGTATTCCTTAGCATGTAACCATGTTAATCTCATTGTTGTCTTAGTTGATCATGATTTAATCCCCTTCTCCCTAGTGTTTTGATCTTATTTCTCTCAAATCTAGCATTTCTTCTCAATTTTAGTTCCATTAGTTTGAATTTTCTGCTAGGTTTCGCGATGTCCAACAACACGGGGAAGGAACCCCGCCAAAAATCCGCACACAGATTAAAGTAACTAAGCATGTATTAAAACCTGAATCACATGATTAACAAGAAGAAAGAGAAAGAATCATTACCCTTGAAGCCTGCTTCTCTCTCACATAGAGCTTGGACAAGAAATCGTAGAGTCTTGCAATTGCGCGAACCTCCAATGGCTAACACCCTCGCTACCGAACCAAGCCGACCCATACCCCGAAGCATAGTCGGGGATAGGCCAAAAATTACATAGAGTATTTGATTCAAGGTTTTCTCTCTTTAGAGATCCCTCTAAATTTACCTACTCAAGTGCTCTTTCCTTATGCCAAATGATTGGTATTGATAAGGAAAGGAGCCCTTAAAATCCCACCTCCCATCAATGTGGGAGAGTTGGTAAAAAATGCAAAATAGAATTTAACTTAATTCCAAGTAAAATTAAATAGCCAAATGAATCACCAATTGACAAGTGGAATGAGGAGAGCAAGAGTTTAGGTAAAGACCACAACGGGAGGACCACCTTCCCCTTGCTCCCCAAGCAACCCCAAAGAACAACTCCATACACACGCCCACACGCACCACACCAGCTGGCGTGGCCTGCCTTGGGCGCCAAGGCTGCCTCGCTGGTGGCCTTGCCCCTAGGCTGGGTTTGCAGGCCAGTCATGTGTGCGTGCAGCCCAGCTAGAATGCTACGCATGCATGCGATCTAGTGGTGGGCGCTGCTACTGCAAGCTCAGTTTACGAGCTGATACTGCTATGATGCGTGTGCCAAGGCATGCTAGCCCGATTAGCCAGCACTAGAAGCTGCTGCTATCTCGCGTAAGGCCTAGCTAGAATTTGCGTGCTGCTGGCCTTGCTTGCGATAGTGCGTGGCTAGTGCTAGCATGCGCGCCAACGATGCTGCCCTCACTGCGCCAGCTAGCTAGCGATGCTAATCATGCTAGCTAACTCGGCATTCCGCAGCCATGCCAGCCATATTGCTCTAGCCCTCGGATGGCTAGGTCGTTCCGAAGCTAGGGCTATATATTATAACTTGTCTTTTGCTGATTTTTTCGTCTCGTCTTTTACTAAATTCGACTCGACTTCCAACGATTCTTGGTTTTGACACTCTAAGCTCGTAATCCGATGTCTTTTTCGTAAATACTCTATTAACTCATTTAATCCTTTGGATTCATTCGTCATTTCTGTTCGGTTTCACGATTGGGTGTGACCTGAACGGTTCAGTCAAGATTAAGCCGTAATATAAATTTCATTAATATTACTGATCGGAAGCGTCCTCCACCTAGGCATTCTGAGCACATGACCTCATTGAATAATTAGCTTTCTAATTAATTCTGAACCCTCAATCGGAATAATACACTTGTTCGAAGGACACCATTCCTTTCATTTTCTTCATTCACTTGCTTTTGTTATGTGTAGTATTTTAATTTGATCATTGAAAACAACAAAAAATCAACATACCCCTGGTTACTTTGCAATAGATTCTTAATTTAACTTTGATTGTGCGTTTCCCTGTTTCCTTGTTGTTCGACCCTAGCTTGCCACTATCTTGTGTGAACTTGATAGAGTAAGATTAGGAATATAAATTGTTGATCTGATTTAGGATAGTAGTCATAACCTATTATCCGGCGATCAAATTATTGGCGTTGTTGCCGAGGAGACGGCTAGTTTTGCACTTTTATTGTGATATTTTTGGATTTGTTGCTTTTGATTTTGTTCATTTACTCTCTTCCTAGTCATTGCTAATTGTTTGCTTTGCTTTGGTGGATGCTAAGGAGGTCTCAAAGACTACCCACACATTACATTGACCACGAGATCGACCGTATTTTGAGATAAGTCCGTAGGCTTTATCAAGAAAAATCCTAGGCTCTTAGTGGTATTGTTGATAGTGAGAGTGATTCTTGGTCTTCAAGTTCTCAAAGTGAGGCAATGGTGGAACAAGAAGAGGGTGTTTTGTTTCGTGAGTTTGGAAATTCAGAGGATTATGAACTTATAGGTGGGATCTTGTTACCCGTCACGGAAACCAATTTCACCATCCATCCCCAATATACAAGGATGGTACAAGCAGAGCAATTCTCGGGTTCTCCAAGTGAAGATCCAATAGAGCACCTTGATAGTTTTCTTGAGCTTTGTGCCATGATTCAAAATAATCAAGTTTCTCAAGAGTACATCTATATGCACTTATTTCAACAATCTCTTACTGGTAGGGCCAAGAGACAAACTCTCTCACAACATGGAGGGAGGTTGTCAAGGCATTCTTGAAGAGGTTCATCTCTGAAGAGAAGACCGCTGCAATGAGTAGAAAGATTGCATCATTTGAGCAAGAAGCGGATGAGAGCCTTAGTGAAGCTTGGGAAAGGTTCAAAGAGTTGGTACAAGCATGTCCTCACCATGAATACAATCAAAGCTTGCTTATGCGTTTCTTCTATGATGTTTTGGAACCTATGTCTAGAGCGAACTTGGATGCGGGGGCGGGTGGACAATTAATCAAGATACCTAATAACTCGGTTGAAGCAACAATTGAGGAGGTGACCAAGAACTATTCATGGGGAAGTAGAAGAAGAACTACTCTTGACAAGGGAAGAAAGGATGAGTTAGAGAAGCTTGATCGACTTCAACATCAAGTGGAGCTTTTGAGTAAGGGCGTAGCCAAGTTGAACTCTAGTGGAAATGTTTTTTCAAGCTCCTCACAAGTCAATGCCTTTTCTTGTGAAATATGTGGAGGTACGAACCATGATACATCATATTGTTGGGGTTCGAACCCCGAACATGTGGCTTCCTTAAACTCAAGGCAAGATGGTTTTAGGGGCAATGGAGTTGGAGTTGCTTGGAGGCAACTACCTCTCGGTTTTTCACCTGAACTGTAACAACGGAACAACCAAATCAACTACCTTTAAACCCCCAATTCCAAAACCAACCTCCAATCTATAACCAAAACCAAAATCAAGGAGGAAACTATCCAAGGCAAAACCAAAACCAAAACCACTCACCAAACCAATTCCCTCAAAAACACCTTGACAAAACCCCGCAACAAATCGACCAAGCCCAAACCCAACTCCTTCAAACCATGAGCCAACAACTTCAAGCTTTTGGCTAACTAATCCAAAACCAAAACTAACATATACAAGAAGTTAAAGCCCATACAAAAATGATGGAAACCCAATCGGTCCAATTGGCAGAAAGGTCATCCTTCAACTTACCGTCTACACTTCTCGGTCAATCAAACCCTAACCCCTCACATACTTACAAAACCAAGTCTTACAAAGCTATAACTTTAAGGTTGGGAACCACTTATGATGATCCAAAGAAGAGAGGTAGTGACGAGAAGAGAAGTGAGAAAGTGGTGGCTTAGGATGGGGAGGTTGAGATGGAAAAGGGCATTGAGAAAAACAAACCCAACGAAAAGAAGACACCTTCACCCCCTATTAATGCTAGGAATCTTGATGGACCGGTGCCCTTTCCCGGTAGGCTAGCGGAAAGGAAGTTGAATGAGAAGTTTGTGAAGTTTCTAAGGGTGATGAAAGGTTTACACATCAATATTCCCTTCCTTGAGGCAATCACACAAATGCCTTCCTATGCAAAGTTTCTCAACGAAATTCTTTCGAACAAAAAGAAGATCAATGAAGATCTCGTCACACTTCCATTTCAAGTTAGTGCTTTCGTGCAACATAAGATGCCCAAGAAGCAACAAGATCCCGAGAGCTTCACCTTTCCAGTTAAGATTGGGAATTTGAAAGGAAAGGGTGCCTTGGCCGATCTTGGATCTAGTGTAAGTTTGATTCCAGTATCCATTGCTCAACAACTCAACATTGAAATGATCACTACAAGGAAGACAATTCAACTTGCCGACCGATCGGTAAAGTTTCCATGCGGAGAGCTTGAAGATGTTCCCATTCAAGTGGGACATATCTATGTTCCTTGTGATTTTGTTGTCATGGACATGGAGGAATTGAAGATGACAATACACCTTTGATCTTGGGTCGAGAGGCTCTTAAGACCTTGGGAGCGGTAATGAATTGCAAAAACAACACTATCACTTGCGAAGTTGTCGATGAAAATATGGTGTTTGAATTTTCCAAGGTATTTAAGAATCCCATGGTGGAGAAGGTTTGTAGAGTGTATGTGATAGGTCCTCCTTAAGAGGAAGAATTTGAGAAAAAAAGAGAAGGGATTGAAGGAGAATCCTAAGCCCCCTTTCAAGAAATCTAAGGAGGTGGCCAAGGCGTCTATGATGAATGAGGATCATTTGGTAGGAATATCATCCCTGTTTGAAGACTCTCTTGAGGAGGATGAGGTTGTCCCACCTAAGATGGAGAATGCAAGGAGTTGTTCTTCTCAAAAGTGCTTGAGGAAGCGAAAGAAGAAGAAAAGAAACAACAACAACAACAAAAAGATGAAAAAGAAAGTTGAGAAAGTTTGGGTCCCCAAAACGCCCCACTTTTCCCTTGTGATGGAGAGATGTTACGAGATGTTTTCTTGCCCAAGCTTAGGGGCTTTCATAGTTAGATCACCTATGAGAAAAATTACCAAATGAAGAAGAAATAAAAGAAAACATCTCGTAACTTCCACCTCTAAGTTGAAGAAGGTGGTATCCTTCGATCCACCTTTAAAGAGGTGAAGGGTCAAGATAGAGACCCTAAACAAGCGCTTCTGGGAGGCAACCCGAGTTCTCAACCCCTCTTTTTCTTTTATTTCTTCTTCATTTGGTAATTTTTAGTTGATTTTCTCATGGTTCTTTTCTTACATTCTTTTGTTTATCTTGTGTGTTTTTCGTAGGAATTTGAACTTTGGGCGTTGAGTTTGTGGATTAAGAATTGAGGGTGTTTGATTCTTAATGAAAATGTTTCCAAGAGCAAAGAATTGGATTAGGATGAAAGAAGAAGTCGAAAAGTCATTCTCAAGGGTTCAATGCAAGAGCCGCGCCTAAAGAGATCCCTCTCCGAATTAGCGCGGGCACGACCAGGAGAGGAGAGGCCGCGGTGGCCATTTAAAAAATATTTTAATGATCCTGTAGATTCTGCACCACGGGCATGGAGAGGGCGCGGCCTAGACGATCGCGGGTGCCGCGATCTGGGTTTCTTAAACCCGATTTTTCACTTTGTCCAGCCTCATTTCCTCAATTTTTTCGATTTCTCACCCCTTCTCTCTCTAGAAAACCCCTTTCCCTCCAGCCCTAACCTCCCTAACTCATCAAAATCTTACCAATTTTCACTCAAACCCTTACATATTTCACTAAATCTCCATTTAAAAATCATCACTCACCATTTTACTTCAACATTGGTCCATATTTCTTGCGGCTCGCCATTGACGGTGCTTGGAGCTATCTTGTGGTACTCGTTCTTGAAGCTAATTGAAGGTGATTTTGGTCACAATTTGTTGGTATAATCACTACTTCTCTAGCTTTATTTGATTTATGAGCATTTTTTTTGGTGATTGAAGTGAAAATCTTGTGGTATTTTTTGGTGATTTTTGATGTTTGAATGGATGCTTGCATTGGAATAATTGGTTGATGTTTGGTTGTATTGTTGTTTGTTGGTTGATTTTTCTTGACATTTGTGGTTTTTGATAATTAATCTTGGTTGATTTGTGTTGATTGGTGGATTGAGTAGAAGTGTATTGTGTGTGAACCCTGGTGAAGTAAGTGGGATTTTTGGCTTGAAATTGGAATTTTGTTGATTGAATTTGTTGATGATTTAACAATGGTGTTTGGCTCTAAGAAGAGAAAGAGTGGAAACAAGCCACAAGGTTCCACCTCACAAAGCTCCACCCCTCAAAACAATGAACAATCACCACCACCCTTGCCACCAATAAAATTTCACAACAAAATCCACAAACCCATTTATGACAACTTGTTACCTCGTAACCTTTGCCCCTCCAAAAACTATCACCAAGAAACCACCACAAAGCTTGGCATTGATGAGGATTGTTGGTTCCTATTCAACAACATGAGGATAGGTTCTTTTGTGACTGACGCTTACCGAACCTACCGTGAGCCTACACTAGAATTCCTTGCTTCTTTTGAAGCCCGAGCCGTAGGGGACAAAGACTTTGCCATTTCCTTTTTACTCATCAATAAAAAAGAAACAGTGAACCTCTAACAATTCAACCAATTTCTTGTCCTAAACAAAGACGCCAATCTCCTCTTTCCCGAGCATGAAACCTTCATTGATTATATCCCCCTTATGTGGTGGAAGAGTATCTCAAGGAAAGATAATTTCAATGCAAAATATTCTTTGGCAAGTGAGATCATGCACCCCGCTATTTGCCTCTTGCATCGGATTCTTGGGTATATGATTTTTAATAAGCAAGATTTAGGTAAGATAACCGCCGAAGAGATTCGAATTCTATGGCTTGCTACTCTTCCGAATTTGGGACATAGGGTAAATTTTACTTTCCTATTTATCAAGTGTATCAAGTCCATTCTTTCAGGCAAGAAGACGGGTGAAATCCATTGTGATGCCATGATCACTAGATTGGCGGAAAAGTTGGTTCATAAGGATAAGGTTTGCTCTTGCACCCCCATTGGGAGTACTGATGGTGATGATATTTGGTTTAATATCGAGTAACTCGAGACAATGAGGTTCATTGCGGACACCGAGGATAAAGGAAGGGAGTTTAGCTTGCTCGTTGCTCTTAAGCACCATTGTCTCCTCCCGAATCCCGAGTTTACTTCTATTACTAGGGAAGGAGTTAATCACCCATTGTGGGTAAGAAAGGATAACGGTGTCCTCCCGGGTGCAAGAATAGAGGAGGATGGAGGTGAAGAGGATGATGATCAAGAGGATGATGATGATGAGGATGAAGACGAAGGGGAGCAAAAAGTGGTTCCTCCTATGCAGCAGCAACAACAACAACATCAACAAGGAAGACGACGAAAACAACAAGGCTACCAACAAGACTTGGCGGCCATGCAAGCTCAAATGGAAAGCATGCAACTTGGCATGCAAGGTATGTTTTCTTCTCAACAAAACTTGATTTTTCAAATGAAATCCCTTTGTTATGCTAGTGTACATATAGGGGATGTCACACCCCTGGTCAACTATCCCTATGTGTCGGCCCAACAAGGGCCCGTGCCTTCTTGGGGGGGTGACAACCAACCTACGTACCCCTATTGGCCGGGTCCCCCGGACCCTAATGTGGCAAGGAGAGAATTTCCCGACGGGTTCGGTCTCTATGACTACCGGGTTTCAGGTGGGAGTGATTATAGGGGTGACTCTAATTACCCCTACGTTGATCCCTCTCACCCTTTGCCCCTTGTCAAACCCGAGCCATATGACCATTTGTCTTCATCCCAACAAGACCTATTTAGGGGTCATTATGGGTGGCCTCCTGGTAACACCGAAGTATGGGAACCCCATGGCCCCCCTTCGGGCTTTTCATATGATCATGGTTGGGGTGGGGATGATGGTGGTGCCGGCCATAGTGGCTAATAGTTTCCCCTTTGGTTTGTTTGTTTTCCCCTCCCCTTTTTGGTCCCTCCCTTTCCTTTTATTTGCATGTGGAGCATCAAGGAAGATGCTCATCTTTAGTGTGGGGGGGTGTTTGAGTTAAAAAGGGGCATTTATGGGTAAGTGTCGGGGAATGCAGCAAGGATTCATGGGAACAATAAAGGGATTTGCGTTTTTAGTCTTGCTTTTGGGTGTTGATGATAGCATTTGGTAGTTAGTTTTTGGTTGTTGTCAGTCGATGATGTCTTTGATGATGATGATGATGATGATTTGATAATGAGTTGAGTTTGGGTAGTTGGTTTTGCCCAAAGTTTGAATTTGAAGATTTTCTTTCCTTTTCTCTCTAACCTTTTTCTTTGTATAGTTTGTGTTTTTGTTTTATCTCTCTCATTTGTAGCTTTGGAGAGCATTGTAAGCAACATATGGAGCAATGGTAAATTGTAAGGTTGCTTTATTTGTCTTCAAGAGACTTTTGGGTGAGATCTTTCCTTTACTCTTTTTCCTTCTTTTGGAGTGCTTAGTCTAGGTTAGTATAGGAAGAAGTTGAATGGTTCGAGGTTGTTTGCATTTGGTTCTAAGAAACCTAGGGATCGTTGACGTTGATATCGAATGATCATTGTATGTCGATTAGGATTTAATTTGATTTATATGCCTCTTTTGTGAACCATTTGATTTCTCTCTTCTTTTGTTTTGTTTTCTTTTTCTTGTGACAAACATGACTATGGCAAGTTGAAAAGAATGTGTTTTGGATTTTGCTCTTACATTTGGACTCGATTGCTTTGATATTGTACCTTAGAATACTTGTTTCTTCCTAGTTAGTGATGGAGTACACGGTTTGAGAGTGCTTTTGGTTGAATTAGACCAATTTTATGCTAAGGTAGCAAGGTTAAGAAATTGTGAGGCCATATGAAACCTTGGTTCACGGGAAAGTGATAAGATGGAGTTGCTCTCTATAGTGGATTTGAAGGCCTTAGTTGGTATTTGCTTGTTTTTCATCCCTTGTGAGGATTATATTGTTCTAGCCTTCATCATTTTGTTGTGTAACGTTTTAGGATCCTTGACTATGCATGTCTTAATCGTTGTGTTGACCTCTAGCTCCCGAGACTGTGACAAAGCCACTTTAGGGGAGGAAAAGGGCACCTCTTCTCATTTTGGTTTATATTTCTTTTTGTTCAGTTACAAATTTGATTTTCTATTTTGTTTCAACCTACTTGCTAATAACCAATTTGAGCTTAATTTTCCTTTTCGTGTTCTAACCACGTTACAAACCTAATAGCCTATGTTTTACCAACCCTCTTAGTTTAGTGAAGCATTTGGCATGTGAGGTTTAAGTTTTGAGCGAGATGATTATGAACAAGAAGCATTTTGAAATTGGTTCAAGTGAGGAATTGAAAGTTGAGTGAGAAATGAATAGGAATGAAAAGTTTGAGAAGAAAAGTGAGATTCAAGAAATTCAAATGATGTTTCAAATATAAAAAAAAAATTAAAAAAAAAAAATAACAAAATAAAAAGAAAAATTGCTTAG